CTTTTTTTTTTTTTTTTTTCGAGACAGCATCTTGATCTGTCGCCCAGGCTGGAGTGCAATGGCTCGATCTTGGCTCACTGCAACCTCTCGTCCACCGGGTTCAAGCGATTCTCCTGCCTCAGCCTCCTGAGTAGCTGGGATTACAGACTAGCACCACCATGCCTGGCTAATTTTTGTAGTTTTAGTAGAGACGGGATTTCACCATGTTGCCCAGGCTGGCCTCGAACTCCTGGCCTCAAATGATCCACCCGGCCGGGCTTCCCAGAGTGCTGGGATTACAGGCGTGAGCCACCACGCCCAGCCTATATTGGTTTTTAAAATGACTTAATTTTAAACTCTTGCAATCTTTTGTTCTTTTGTTTTTCTTATACCACAGGTCATCTATTTCTCAGACAATGGAAAACTAGAAAATTGAATTCTTCAGAGTTAAGAACTTGTTCTTCCAAGTTTCCTTGTTCCTGGATGCTCTAGGCCTGAAGCCTGAAGCCTTTTAACACTAAAACTGGACAGTCTCCTGAGACAAGACCTCCTACTGTATTCTTTCAGGTGAAGCAGAACTGCAATGACCCACATCAAAGATATTCAAAGGCTGAGCGGTGTAAGGAGTGCTCACCTGCTGGGGACCCAAGTCCTCTTTTTAGCTCCACGCAGCACCTTCTTGAGGCCTCTCCTCTGCAAATCGAGAGGGGTAAATGGGTCCCTCTCTAGGGGCCTTCCCTCCAGGTCTGTGTCTGATGGCTTTTACACACACACAGAAACACACACACACGACCAACCAGCTCTATGAGAGCTACTGAAAAAGAGGTGATTGGATATGTGCTGGGTCATTTTAGGGTGAGGTGTTGGGGTTTTTTTGCTTCTCCGTTCTCATATTTTGTTTAATTATTCCTGCTCAGAGGGCGGTAAGGAATGGAGAGGTCATCAGAACCTGAATCCTTTAACATCCACCAGGAAGTGGTACAGGCAGCTGATGCACTTGTATAAACAGTCTAATTTTGCCATTTGGAGGGCAATGCTTGTTTTTGTACTAAAATGGGCAAAAACTAGATCTAAATTAAGGACAACAGGCAGAGATTATTTTAAAAAGTGAACTTGGAAGGATATAAAATCAAATTGAACATACATGTTAGAAACTCTCCTACCTTTATAAGAAATGGTGCAGCCTGTAAACATAACTAAAGTAAACTTGCTTGCTGGGCGCGGTGGCTCACGCCTGTAATCCCAGCACTTTGGGAGGCTGAGGCAGGTGGATACCTGAGGTCAGGAGTTTGAGACCAGCCTGACCAATATGGTGAAACCCCATCTTAAAACAAACAAACAAACAAAAAACTTGCTTGATTCCTTGGTTGAAAAAAAATTTGAGTCAGTCTTGCTCTGTTGCCCAGGCTGGAGTGCGGTGGCATGATCTCCACTCACTGCAACCTCTGCCTCCCAGGTTCAAGCAGTTCTCCTGCCTCAGCCTCTTGAGTAACTGGGACTACAGGTGTGCACCACCATGCCTAATTTTTAAATTTTTGGTAAAGATGGGGTTTCACCACATTGGCCAGGCTGGTCTCGAACTCCTGACCTCAAATTATCCGCTGGCCTTGGCCTCCCAAAGTGCTAGGATTACACAGGAGACACGGTGCCCGGCCCGAAATTTCTAAACACTTAACATGTTATCTCAAATTTGCTGGCCTTTTAACTGGGATATTTCTCTTGTATCACAAGGACTTGGTGTGGATTAACATTTTTGCAAGGACTTAAACGCATTATTACACATGTAGTTTTAAAACTCCAACTTCAAAAATTTTTTTTAGAGATGGGGTTTCACCATGTTGTCAGGCTGGTCTCGAACTCCTGACCTCAGGTGATCCACTCGCCTCAGCCTCCCAAAGTGCTGGGATTACAGGTGTGAGCCACTGCACCCAGCCAAAACTCCACAACTTTTATTTTATTGGAGTCTACCTGCCCAATCCTCCAACTTTAATGTCTTTAGCAACGTAAAAACAAACTTCCTTTTCAGTTGGTCTCTGGTTTATGGTCACCTTTTTTTGAGATGGAGTCTCACTCTGTTGTCCAGGCTGGAGTGAAACGGTGCAATCTTGGCTCACTGCAACCTCCCCCTCCCAGGTTCAAGCAATTCTCCTGCCTCAGCCTCCCGAGTAGTTGGGATTACTGGCATCCACCACCATGCCAGGCTAATTTTTGTATTTTTAGTAGAGACGGGGTTTTGGCATGTTGGTCAGATTGGTCTCAAACTCTTGACCTCAGGTGATTCGCCCATCTCAGCCTCTCAAAGTGCTGGGATTACAGGCATGAGCCACTGCGCCCAGCCTATAGTCACCTTTCTATATTAATAGTCTGAAGATTTTTTTAAAGAGAGCTTTATGCTATCAATGCTTTGCTAACTCCCAAGGCACTATTCAAGCTTCTTTGGTGCCTTAAGGCCTTATTAAAAAAAAAAAAAAAAATTTGTAGAGATAGTCTCATGCTGCTGTTGCCCAGGCTGGAATGCAGTGCCATGATCATAGGTCACTGCAGCCTTGAAATGCTGGGCTCAAGCAGTCCTCCTGCCTCAGCCTGAGTAGTTGGGACCACAGGTGTCAGCCAACACAACCAGGCTAATTTTTAAATTTTTATAGAGACATTATGTTGCCCAGGCTGATCTTGAAGCCCTAGGCTCAAGTGTTTGTCCTGTGTTGGCCTCCCGAAGTGTCGAGATTACAGGTGTGAGCCACTGCACCCAGCCATGAGGCCTTATTTTAAAGCAAATGCAAGTTCAGATTCTATTATCAGCAAATCACCAATTTTCTGTGATACAATAAATCTAAGGGCAAATGGTTTCCTTATAAAGCTAAATAGAAAGGCTACAATTTCAGGTGAAAAGAATGGGCAGTAACGAAGTCCACTTATAAGGCGGGACAGCTCTGAAAGAGCTAAATAGTTTCCCTTGGACACATAGAGCCCAACCAACTCAAAATTAAAGGGGGCTGTAAACCCACCTGCTTGTTGGCTCTTTTGAGATAGCTACAAGCTATCCTGTAACAGTACTAAGGCTTCCCGTACTCTGGGAATTCTAGGTTCATACATTTAACACCAGGTGTAGGAGGCCTGCCTAGGTTGATCAGTCTGGTGAACATACTGGCTTAATGAATCCCAGTAAGTTACATTTTAACATTATGAAAACACTAAATGTATTCTAAGTATTGCATAATTAAAACAAATTAACTAGAACAATTTACGTAGTTGAGGTGTAGGTGGGGAAGGACGATGAATAGAATTAACACTAAAAACTACCACAAAAATGAAAAGCAATTTAAAAACTAGACAAGTGTATAAAGCAAAAAGTAATAAATTATCTCTAGTATATAAGTCCTGACCAAGTCATCAAATAAGGAAGCACTCCAACAAAAAGCCAGACAATTTACAAATAATCAAAAAAATGCAAATACTTATGAAAACAAGTTTATGACCTCACTAGTAATCCAATAAGCAAATTATAACAATATTCCTGTGTGGGGGGCGGACAGGGCACAAACTAGCAATTCATAATGGAAGAGGCCTGTTCATACACTGTATATACAGAAAAATAGTCCGATCATTCTGCTAGCTGTCCAGATAAGTTAGGCAATATTTACTAAAAGCCTCAAAAATGTGCTCTCTGGCCCAGTTCAACAATCTATCCAAGAAATGAAGAGATAAGCCTGTGTAATACATCATGCCACTGCCTTAGTAAGAGCTTATATCTCTAAGTCTTCTGAATTTTGCATATACTGTGCATTTATAATTTGAGAAAAACAACAACCCCCAACAAAATCTTCTGAAAAAAAGTGCTATTGGATGTAGGCAGAAACAATTTTCAATAAAAATAAAAAGTCTGAAAAACAGTATTCCACAAATGTTAATTTGGCTCTGTTAATTCTATCCCACTCCCAATTTAAAGCTAGAAGCAAAACTATGAACCCCACAAAATGGCAAGGACAACTGCTAAGCGCAGACCAACTTGGGCAACAAATGAACAAAAGATCTTTTGGAAACATGTAGGTTATTAAATAATTTATTGTACTGCATTTACAAAGAAAACAGACAATGCACTCAGTAGAAAGAATAAAAATGTATTCAGGGCTTTATTTTTAACTGACAGCAAATAGAAATCCTTTAGTGAGATCATGGCAATCTGACAGTATTATAATTAAGCTCAATAACGGTACATGGGGTACTTGGAAGACCAAGTTCTACAGCTGCCTATTTCCACCATCTTTCAGATCTGTCTGGCTCCTTAAATAGGGGGAAAAGCCCTTATTTGGTGGAGGAGCATTTCCAAAATGAAGTTATAGGTTCTCTCTCTTTATTAAAATTTACTGTCACATCAACGGTTATAGGGCCTGTTGTGTGGTTTTTATTTCACCTTAATATCATCACCAGAATTCCTGTAATTCCACAATTGTGATTTTACAATGTAGAAGAGAATTCAGTTCTAGTCTATTGCTTTAGATGTAAAAACAGCTGAAAACCCAAAGTGGATTAGAATTGCTGAAGGATTTCCCTGCCGTTGTTTGATACAATCTATTTTCTTGATTCTTGAAAGGTGCATAGAAAGCCCAACTTAAAATTCTTTCTACAGGAACATGTCTGATTTTAGGAGTACCCAATGAAGGATCCGATGAATGGCTGGCCAGTTACTCAGAGTGATATGTTTATGAGTTAAATGGATTGCATAACGGCACCACTTTTCCTTTGTCACTGTTGGTGGATAAATGACAAAGCAGATTCCAATCTCCTGTATGGAAAGGTGGTTACCCAACAGTCTCACTGGTAGCTTGCTAGTAGTAGAGCCAAGTTGCACCTCTGTGGCTTTCTGTGAATTCCAGTCCTATAGCCGCTTCAAGAATGCTGCAGTCGGCCGGGTGTAGCGGCTCACGCCTGTAATCCAAGCGCTTTGGAGGCGAAGGCGGGCGGATCACCTGAGGGCGGGAGTTCAAGACCTGCCTGATCAACATGGTGAAACCCCGTCTTTATATATTAAAAAAAAAGAAAAAAAAAAGAATGCTGTAATCTCCAAGGCCCACTTGGTCCATGCTCAAGAAGTGGCTGTGACCCCAGTCCTGCCCCTCTTTTGCTCTTCAATATTACTGGAGGAATATGTAATATCTAGGTCAAGTCTAGGAGAGGCTCATCCTAAAAAAAAAAATTGCAAAGTCTTTTCTCATTTAAAACAAAAAAGCCTCAAGTACATCTCAATCATGTCAAAATTATGGTTAAAAACTAACATTACGCAGGGAAATAGCAGCAGAGAATGGCTAATCTTAAAAAATCAACCAACCAAAAAACCAAACCAACAGAAAATAGTGCCATCCCACCCTTCCCTTGGTTCTTTCGTTTGGGGTTAAAGACCCTGAGCCTCTGAGAAAATGAGAAAGGCAAAGCCACAGAGGAAAACCTTGCCAGAATTTTGGGCAAGGTAAAGAAAAGGCTGTACATGAGAGCAGGGGACTGTTTGGAAAAGAATCAGAATCTCAAGATCTATTTTTCTTAAATGGGAAAGCCCTGAAACCTAGATCTCCGTTCTACAGTCATCCTGATCCTTTAGTTATAGGGCAATAAACTCAAGTGAAATGAGTAAAGTGCCAGCCACGGATACAAAAACAAAAAATAAAACAGTCAATCAAAATAACTCTGGTCTTAGGGTAATAGAAGACATATCGGAAAGGACTGCTTATAGAACACCTGAGGTTCTCCAGAAATTACTATTCAATGGTTCAGTTTTTGTTTACATTAAAAATCAGACTGAAGATTCAAAGATCTTAACTATTAAAGGATGAAAGGAATTTGACAGTGCTTTGAACAGTGATAAAATGGTACCCAAATTTGGTGTTCATACAGCTAATTAAAAAAGACAGTTTAAAAGTTGCAGGAAAAAATGTGAACATAGGGAACAGAAACAGTCCAGGAAGATGATGCAGCCTGGATACAGCAAGTTTAATGTCTCTGCTGTACACACGATCAACACCCTTTTCCCTCCTCATCCTTATGCTGGCAACAGGATATGCACTAGAAAATTTGACTCTTAGAGTCAGTGAATAAAAGGATGGGCTCATACAACTTCATAGCTCTTTTCAAAAAGGATGATTATAACTTAAAGGATGTCCTAATGGGAAGGAAAGGTACAGGGCAAGAGGCTGTTTCACATTTTAGTCCATTAGTCTTTGGCAGAGCCCAACCAAGGCCAAATTCACCTAGGATGCCCAATGGCTGTGGGGATCTCCACAGGGTCAAGTAAGCAAACCCAAATGAACATGTTGGATTAAAAAAAAAAATCTAGAAACTCTTGAAGGAAGAGCTTCACCCTGAAAAGGGAAGAGGAAAATGCTTGGAGGGGAAGGGCAGAGGGTCAGCATGTGATCTCTGCTGTGGTGCTGGGCAGGGGCTTAGGAGTTAAGCCAAGGGTGCCGGAGACACTCAGCGGCAGTGGCTCTCTTCTCAGGGATCAGCTCCAACATGGGCAGTAAGAAATCCGTGAAGCCAGCTGCCTCTTCCTGAGACCACTCATACTTCTCCACTAGAACCTCAAAAAGGCCCCAAGGTTTCAGCTTCGTGATGTGTTTCAGGTCACCTGCAGTGAAGACAGTATAAAAAAGCCACTGATCAACACAGACAAATGACAAGATCCTCTTGTGGAAATCCAGGCACTAATCCATGTAGTCTATGAGGAATCAAAATTTGCAGTCAGAATATAATCCGAGCTTCACAAAGTATTTCTTTTCTGACATATGCCTCAGAAAGAAGTGCCTCTATTTTTCATAAGGCTCTAAAAATTTAAGGTAATTTGTTTTCTCCCCTATTCTAGAATTTTTTTAGTCCCAGTCAAACTAGGTATGACAATCAGGAACTAGGTATTTACTAAAATAAACATGAAATGTCTATATCTTCAACATGGTCTCATACGGTGTGCAGAGGCACTCTAGCACCATACATTGAGAATAATTTGCTTATACTTTTTTGTGTGTTATGTGCTCAATACTTCAGTAAATGTTGCTTCATGGTGAGACAGTAATTTAAAAACAAAATACCATGTCAAGCATGGATAAAAGCAACAAAACAGAAAACCTAAATCCTATACAGCTTTCAGATACAACAGCTTCATATACTCTATACCAGGGGTCCCCAACTCTACACCCATACCCCCTGCAATACCAGTCTGCAGTCCGCCAGGTCCGCACAGCAGAGGTGAGTGGTGGGCAAGCGAATATTAGTGCATGAGTTCTGCCTCCTGTCAGATCAGTGGCTATGTTAGATTCTCATAGGAGCGTGACTCCTACTGTGACCTGCACATGTGAGGGATCTACGTTGCATGCTTCGTAAAAGAACCTAATGCGTGACAATCTGAGGTGACACAACTTTATCCCAAAACCATGCCCCACCCCCCCATCCGACACTGTCCATGGAAAAATTGTCTTCCACAAAACCACTCCCTGGCGCCAAAAAGATTGGGGACCACTACTCTACACTATACTGGAATATCAACCTCATTGTTTCTCTGAAGTGACAAATTTTTACAAGACAGTCAATTAAGAATGGCTAAGGTAAATGCTGCTTTTAAACTTTTAAGATGTCCAGGCACATTGGCTCACGCCTGTAATTCCAGCACACCGAGAGGCTGAGGTGGGTGGATCTCTTGAGCTCAGGAGTTCAAGAACAGCCTGGGCTACATAGTGAAAGCCTGTCTCTACCAAAAATACAAAAAAATTAGCTGTGTGTGGTGGCACGTGCCTGTGGTCCCAGCTACTTGGGAGGCTGAGGCAGAAGGATCATTTGAACCTGGGAGGTGGAAGTCGCAGTGAGCCAAGATCACGCCACTGCACTCCAGCCTAGGTGACAGAGTGACACCTGCCTCAAAAAAATAATTTTTTTAAAAATAAAAATTTTAAGTCTCTTCTGTGAGCAGTGAGTGCCTATTTGATTACCTACCCGTTACACACATGCCTTAATCTGACTACATACAAGGAGGAACTCTTATGAAACATTTTGCAATTTTCCCACCTAAAAAGAGGTTTAAGAAAGAGTAATGTGGCCAGGCATGGTGTCTCACACCTGTTAATCTGAGCACTTTGGGAGGCTGAGGCAGGTGGATCACTTTAGGTCAGGAGTTCGAGACCAGCCTGCCGACATGGCGAAACTCCACCTCTACTAAAAATATAAAAATTAGCTGGGCGTGGTGGCACATGCCTGTAAGCCCAACTACTTGTGAGGCCGAGGCAGGAGAATTGCTTGAATTGGGTAGGCAGAGGTTGCAGTGAGCCAAGATGGTGCCTCTGCACTCCAGCCTAGGCAACAAAGCAAGACTACATTTAAAAAAAAAAGAAAACAAAAGAAAAGAAAGAAAGGGTAGTTTCTGAGGATGGCTCCTGTCAAGGATTGAGAAAAGTCATTTTTTTCAGCACTTCTGTAGAAGTTGTGAGGAAAAAGGGAACCATGGCACAACGGGGGTTAAAAAAAAAAAAAAAAAAAAAAAAACCAGGCTGTTTGCTTCTAGATCAGGTTTTCACATTTTAGGGTTTTTTTTTTTGCAATGCATAAGAAATATATTATTGGCTGGGCGTGGTGGCTCACGCCTGTAATCCCAGCACTTTGGGAGGCCAACGTGGGCAGATCATGAGGTCAGGAGACGGAGATCATCTGGGCTAACATGGTGAAACCTCATCTCTACTAAAAATACAAAAAATTAGCTGGGGCATGGTGACGTGCGCCTGTAGTCCTAGCTACTTGGAAGGCTGAGTCAGGAGAACTGCTAGAACCCGGGAGATGGAGGTTGCCGTGAGCCGAGATTGTGCCACTGCACTGGAGCCTGGGCTACAGAGCGAGACTCCATCTCAAATATATCAAGCCAAATATGGGAAGTTTTGTTTTTTGTTTCTTTTTAATAACAAATACATAAAACTGAAGTGTAAAGTTCATTTGCATGACTAATGTACTTTGAGTGACTGTGTTAGGTGGCACTGGGATGAATGGGATGTAGTTCCTGCCCTTATTATGTAAGAAGTTTAAACTACCTGCCCTTTGGTAGAGGCAGTTCTTAGACCAAATGCCAGCAAAAAATGTGCCCATTTTTCAGAAGTGCTATAGAAGTAATCAACCACCTTTGTGCAGGCACTATACATATTAAATCATTTAGTAAGAAGTATACATTATTATCCTTATTAAGAAATCAGCAAACTAAGGCACAGTTAGATCCTGTCAAAGGTCACATGGCTAGTGGAGTAGCCAGGGTTTGAGAGTCTGGTTCCAGTCTCTGCTCATTTTTTTCCTGAGACAGGGTCTTGTTCTGATGCCCATGCTGGAGTACAGTAGCACAGTCATGGCTCACTGCAGCCTGGGCCTCCCAAGCTCAGGTGATCCTCCCACCCAAGCCTTCGGAGTAGCTGGGACCACAGGTGTGTGTCGCCATGTCCAGCTAATTAAAAACAATTTTTTTTTTTGTAAAGAGGGGTTTTTCCTATGTTACTGGTCTTAAACTCCTGGACTCAAGGATCCTCCTGCCTTGGACTCCCAAAGTGTTGGGATTACAGGCGTGAGCCACCGTGCCCGGTCCCAGCCTCTCCTCTTGACCACTTTTTTACCTCTGTGCTAAGTCACAGGTTAGCATTCAAGGCAGGCCCATCATTCTGTAGGACATTGGGAACATGTGCTTACCTCTTCATTTTTAAACATTTCTGTCCCCTTAATGTCTGGGAACACATTTATTTTACCTTTTTTGGTGAAAAATTCCTTGGAATATTTTCCTGCCACAATGAGCTTGCGAGGCACCTTCCCCAGAAGTTCTATGATCAATGCAATGTGATCTGTATATTTCAAACATTTCAAGAGGAGAAAAAAAAGATACATAACAAGAGTAACAAATGCAGCTCTAGGAAATAGCAGAAAGAGTAGCATGCATACCTCTCTCTAAAGCATTTCAGGCTTGCTTTCTATCCTAAATGGGAAGAGGAGGGTTCTATCCATCTAATGGAGAATCCACAAAGTCAAATTTTTGTGGATTCAGTGATGACTAAAAAAAAATCTTGGTGTGAATGCTCTGCTTCCTGAAGTCTCCCTGGGTCCTCGATTAAAACTCATGTAACAATACTACCTCTGCGATTGAAGAAGTCCTGTGAATATTTCCCACTGAGGGCAAAGCATCTTGGAATTCTGCCTATCAGCTCTATAATGTGCACAATGTGCTCTAAAATAGAAGGGTAAGAAGAACAGATCAAGGACAAGCTGTAAAAGAAGTTTTTCTATGAATAGCTTTTTCAAGGACTAGCTGTTTAAAAGTATCTACAAATAACACCAAGGATACTGAAGGGAAGACTGACTGGGAAGGCCAAGAATTATTTCAGGTGGTTGGTCACCCGATAGTACCTGGCAAGCCCCCTTCTGGATTTTGGAGGCTTATCTTCATCTTTACTTCTATTTTGTCTCTCTATCTAGGTTCAGGTAGGAAGATTAAAATAACTGTCCTAATATGTGTTAGGCATTCTAGAACTATTATTTGTGATCATTCTGTCTCAGCCTCCCCAGTGGCTGGGACTTCAGGCATATGCCACCACACCCGGCGGACTCAAACATTTTTTTGTAGGCCAGGCACAGTGGCTCATTCCTGTAATCCCAGCACTCTGGGAGGCCGAGGCAGGTGGATAACCTGAGGTCGGGAGTTCAAGACCAGCTTGACCAACATGGAGAAACCCGTCTCTACTTAAAAAAAAAAAAAAAAAAAAAATTAGCTGGGCATGGTAGCGCATGCCTGTAATCCCAGCTACCTGGGAGGTTGAGGCACGAGAATCGCTTGAACCTGGAAGGCAGAAATTGCGGTGAGCCAAGATCACGCCACTGCACTCCAGCCTGGGCAACAAGAGAAAAAAAAAAAAAAAAAAAAAAAAAAAAAAAAAAAAAAATTTTTTTTTCTTTTTTTTAAAGAGATGAGGTCTTGGCATACTGCCAGGCTGGTCTCAAACTCCTAGGCTCAAGCAAACCTCCTGCCTTGACCTGCCAAAGTGTTGGGATTACAGGCCTGAGCCACCACCTGGCTGATACCCTATTTTAAAGATGAGAAAATGGAACTTCAAAAAGCATGAGTGGCCTAACTTGAAACTTCAGGGCTAATATGAGCTGCAACTCAAATGAAAACCAATTATCTTATGTCTTGTCTAAAACTTTTCTAAACTCACTTCTTAAAAATTAGCACAAACATTTTAAAGTATAGCTACTTGATGATCTGTAGGCCACTAAAATGTCCAAGTAATATAGTGACTTATAACCATCACAGTATGAATGTGGACCATGAGCACCACCAGGGAGATGTGCAGTCTCTTAGCCAGGAGGTGAGTGTGAGACTGGGACCAACCAGTACACACATCTCAGGTAGATCTACTGCCTTTTTTTTTTTTTTTTTAACTCTGCAGGTGACAAATTAAGAATATAAAATTTCTTTTTTTTTTTTTGAGACAGAGTGTCACTCTCAACTCAGGCTGGAGTGCAGTGGCATGATCTTGGCTCAATGCACCTCCGCCTCCTGGGTTCCAGTGATTCTTGTGTCTCAGCCTCCCGAGTAGCTGGGATTACAGGCGCACATCAACATGCCCAGCTAATTTTTGTATTTTCAGTAGAGACAGGATTTTACCATGTTGGCCAGAGATCTGCCTGCCTCAGCCTCCCAAAATGCTGGGATTACTGGCATCAGCTACCGCGCCTGGCCTGTAATTTTTGTAGAGATGGGGTTTTGCCATGTTGCCCAGGCTGGTCTCAAACTCCTGGGCTCAAGCGATCCACCCACCTCAGCCTCCCAAAGTGCTGGGATTATAGGCATAACCATCACACCCAGGCAGAACATAAAAGTTTTTTTTAAAAATGATGGTTCCTGGCCAGAAAAAAAGCTTTATTAAATACTTTCATCCTGTAAGTTATAGAATCATGAAGGGTTAAACTTCCAGTTATGTATCTTATAGGGGAAATAACATGCTGGAGACATCCCTATTATCTGGGAATTTGTGAAGGTTTCAGGTTATCTCTTTCTCATGTAAAGGAGTCAGTGGTGCCATTTAAAGAGGACTTCAACCCTACAACCTTTGAGTGGTTTTGACTGAATTTATGGTTTGGTAACAAGTACCTGCATGTGTTTTTACCATTAACAACCACCAAAATCAGAATACCAACAAAAAACTTAGACATAGTTTCTCTTATAAACTATAAGAGAACTTCTTAAAGTTCTTTTTTTTTCCTGAGATGGAGTTTCACTCTTGTTGCCCAGGCTGGAGTGTAACAAGTGTAACAAACTATGCATACACTAGTCACGGGGTAAGCGTCTGCTTGTTCCTGCTTTTATAGGCCAAACTGCAGTAGAACAGCATGGCGGGGAGGTGCTGATGTTTGACCTAATAGTATTATCTGGTATAGGATGCAATAAATTAGAATCTAAATATCTAGCAAAGATGGTTTTTCCTTGTCCCCTTATTTGGGACTCTGCATATACATTAAAATTTTCAGGTTTAGTAGCATAAGGTACTACTAAATATAATTCTAGCCACTATGTGTTCTGTACCACACACCAACATGGAGTACCTTGGGAAATAAAGAGGAAACAAAATTACCCTCCCAAACAAATATAGTAGGTAGTTTCTTTATTTTTTTTTTGACATGGAGTCTTGCCCTGTCGTCCAGGCTGGAGTGCAATGGCACTATCTTGGCTCATTTATTCTCCTGCCTCAGACTCCAGAGTAGCTGGGATTACAGGTGCGTGCCACCATGCCCGGCTAATTTTTTGTATCTTTAGTAGAGACGGGGTTTCACCACATTGGCCAGGCTGGTTTTGAACTCCTGACCTCGTGATATGCCCGCCTCAGCCTCCCAAAGTGTTGGGATTACAGGTGTGAGCCACTGTGCCTGGCCATACATAATAGGCCTATAATCCTAACTACTATAAGCCTATAACCCCAAACCTATAACCCAGAAAAATAGCAAGCAGAGAATAGGTACAATCAAGTAGTAATTGTAGTATCCTCTAACATGGGGCTTATATATACAAAGTATGTCCAAACTGTACCTAAATAGGCACTCATGAGAATTAGATAGCATAGCATTTTCCAAATGGTATTCATTAGGGATATTAGCAAGCCCTACTAACATTACCTATTAAAATCCCAGAAGACCACATTTTGAGAAACAAAGAGCACTCGGTTCCATAGAGCATGAAATCTGAGTTCCCAAAGGCTCAAGGAAAGTACAAAAAGTAAGGAACACGTTCTGTACACTGGGAGAGTAGATGCTGTAGTGATCTCAAAATAATCCTCATTAATCCTACAAATAAAACATAAGCTATCTCAACTGTGTAAAACGTTTTCTTGGTTATTAACCCATTTAGTTATCTGGATGTCACCATGATAGAAAAATCAGACACATACAGTTGTCTGCTTCCACAGTCTCTTACACAGTAACTGGCAGCTTGGGCTTTTCCTACTGGCTACAAAATGTAAATCCATTCTATTTTGTTTTAAAACGGAATTCAAACAAACAAACAAAAACAGTTTTATATCCAGAAAAGAGAATAGGGGGAATAACATGCTAGAGACATCCATATTATAAATTCTGCTAAACGTTGGCAGAATTTATAGAAATAGGATATAGTCTGACCTATAAATAAATTTAGAGGAATAATTGAGCAACAGGTTGATGAGCAGGCAAACTCAAACTTGGTAAAGAATGTACCACTGATACATATACAGAAAGGAAGATAACTAGATGTTGAAGAAAAAATTGTCCAGCACACAGAAGTTTTAGGTTAGCTGTGGCCTTCTGACTCTGACAGAGCTCTTTAGTATATTTCAGAAAATATCTAAAAACCTAATATAAAATGTATTTTATTATTTCTAACTTTTCTGGGATTTATATACATTTTGCACACTAACAAGACTAAGACTCTTCAGTACTAACAAATTATGTTAGTCAAATGTGGAAAGTGTAAATACCACACACACACATCCATGGTTACGGAGACTCACCTTCATCTCGAGTGTATTCTTCCCCTGAGTGAGGTTCAAACAAATAGTCACCTGTGGCCAGTTCAAAGGCCTAAGAAAAAGAGGATAGCATATGAAAGCACAAAAGAAAAGGCCCTTGGAAAGCTTATTGCTATTTGACTCAATATGAAGTAACTTTTGTTTCCCTGAAAAAATTTACAGATCATTTTTTAAAAATGCCTAATTCTTACAGCATTCCTTCTATGCCCCTATCTTAATAAAATGGAGAAAACGGCAAAGACTCAGTAAATACTTAAATAGGCACTTATGAGAATTAGATAGCATAGCATTTTCCAAATGGTATTCATTAGGAATATTAGAAATCCTATGTGGTTATTTCATGCCAAAACCTCCCCATCCTAAACCCGAGCAATTCAACCCTCTTGAGTTTCTCTTTTTTGGCCAGAAAGGAGCACACCTGGATATTAAGGTAATTCCAAGTTATTATTTATGAGAAGAACAGGTCTTACATTATAATCACACATGGCTAGAAACTGAGATTCTGTACCAAACAAAAAAATTCAGACGTCTACTTATGACTCTTGAGTGTTTGACAAGTACATCCTTTGCATGGGAAGTACTCCCTAAACTGTCCCAGATGGAGAGTTCCCGATTCCTAGGTCTTCGGAACATCAGCAGATTAAGTGTAAAGGGAGTCAAGAGCCACTCTAGCCTAGGTGACTGGCAAGTCAGCACTCTCCAATCATGAAAAGAAAAGCCAGTCTCCTGTAATAGAAGAACCTCTTACAGCGTTTGAGAGTGTCTTAGGAAATGATATCCTTGGGAATAAGTGCCATGTAGCATGAAAAGATAATGTCAGGGTAATGGGGGGGAGAGGTACATAAATTCTCACTGATTACGAGTCCCAAAAATCAATACAACAGTTTTAAAAAATGACCATATTGATAGGGAAGCACAGTTATAAAATAAGTGCTAGTCACAGGTCGATTTTGATTCATCAATGGTACTAAGTAGCCCAAACAACCTTAAGAACTGTAGAGTCCAGGACTTAGTTGGGGCATATTCTTTTTTTTTTCTTCTTAGCTCTTGGCATCAAGGTGATCTTGTTGCACATATTCTGAATTTAGACCCAAGTTTAAGTCTTGGTGGCTCACCAGTGTCAGTTTCTGCAATTTCATGACAGAACAGCCTTTCTCAAAACGGTACTGCCACCCAGAGGGAGACCACAAAACCAAAAGTTTCAGGATAGGTTAGGAATCAAGTACTATCTCTCAATGTCAGCAGTGCTATGGCTCCTTGCTAGGCATAGCTTGTTTTACATTTCATTCGTTTATTATGAAACTGAACCACAATGACAGAGCAGATACTTGTTCTACCCTTAGTTATCCAAAGGTTTATAGTCCCAACAACACAGAAACAGATGTGATTCTTATTCACCAAAACTTGTTAATCATTCCTGACACCAGTATTTTTTTTTTTTTAATCTCATGGTCTCACATATAATATAGAGTTCAGTAAAGATACTGAAATTAAAGTTAAAAAATAAAGAGCCAGGTATGGCAGTGCTGCATGCCTGTGGTCCCAGCTTTTCAGGAGGCCACTGAAATATTCTTCAGTGCCAAAAAGAAATGAGTTATAGCCGGGCGTGGTGGCTCACCCCTGTAATACAAGTACTTTGGAGGCCAAGACGGGCGGATCACCTGAGGGGAGTTCAAGACCAGCCTGACCAACACGGTGAAACCCCGTCTTTATTTAAAAAAAAAAAAAAAAAAGAAAAGAAATGAGCCACTAAGCCACGAAGACACGGAGGAACCTTAAATGCATATTATTAAGTGAAAGAAGCCAATCTAAAAAGGCTACCTACTGTATGATTCCAGCTACTTGACATTATGGAGACAATAAAAATATCAGTAGTTGCCAGGGTGTGGGGGAAGGAAGGGATTAATAGGCAGGGCACAGAGGAGTTTTAGAGCAGTGAAACTATACTGTATATAATAGTGAAGGATACATTTGCCAGAACTCATAATAAAGCGAAATATAAAACTATGGACTTTGAGTAATAGTGATGGGTCAATGTAAGTTCACTGTTTGCAACAGATGTATCACTCTGGAGCAGATCAGTAGTGTCCGGGGAGGCTCTGTGTGTGGGGAGCAGATAAAACTTCTTTGTACTTTTTGTACAATTTTGCTGTGAACCTAAAACCGCTAAAAAAATAGTTTATTAAGAAACAATCCAAAATAAAACCAGTGTACCATCCTTACCAGAGCATTTAAAAGGCAGCCAAACAGAAAAGGAGGAAGTACAAATGTCAGTTAGCTGACAACATAACCTTTTTTTTTTTTTTTTTTTTTTTTTAAATTTTTTGGCAAGACAGAGTCTTGCTCAGTCATCCAGGATGGAGTGCAGTGGCACAATCAAAGCTTGCAGTCACCTCAACTCCTGGGCTCAAGTGATCCTCCTGCCTCATCCTCCGAAGTACCTGAAACTACAGGTGTGTGCCACCACACCTGGCTAATTTTTTCATTTCTTTTGTCAGAAATGGGGTCTTACTATGTTGTCCAGGCTGGTATGGAACTCCTGAGCACCAGTGATCCTCCTGCCTCAGCTTTCCAAAGTGCTGGGATTATAGGCATAAGCCATCAAGCCTGGCCTGACATGATCTTATATATAGAAAACCCTAAAGACTCCACCAAAACCCCATTAGAACTATAAACAAACACAGTAAAGTTGCATGATACAAAATCAACACACAAAAATTAGTAGCATTTCTGTAAACAACTATCTGAAAAATAAATCGAGAACAATCCCATTTACAATAACTACAAAAATAATACTTAGAAACATATTTAACCATGAGGTAAAGAACTGTACACTGAAAACTATAAAATGCTGATAAAAGAAATTGAAGACAAAAATGAAAATACATCCTATGTTCATTGGTTGGAAGTTTTTTTTTTTTTTTGAGACAGTTTCGCTCTTGTTACCCAGGCTGGAGTGCAATGGCGTGGTCTTGGCTCACCGCAACCTCCGCCTCCTGGGCTTAGGCAATTCTCCTGCCTCAGCCTCCTGAGTAGCTGGGATTACAGGCACGCACCACCATGCCCAGCTAATGTTTTGTAATTTTAGTAGAGACGGGGTTTCACCGTGTTGACCAGGATGGTCTCGATCTCTTGACCTCATGATCCAGTCGCCTCGGCCTCCCAAAGTGCTAGGATTACAGGCTTGAGCCACCGCGCCCGACTGGAAGATTTATTTTTATTTTTTGAGACAAGGTCTTGCTCTGTGAGCCAGGCTGTACTGTAGTGGTGCAATCTTGGCTTATTGTAATCTCTGCCTCCCAGTCTCAGGTGATTCTCCCACCTCAGCCTCCCAAGTAGCTGGGACTACAGGCATGTACCACCAAGCTCGGCTAATTTTAAAATTTTTTTGTAGACATGGGATTTAGCCATGTTGCCTAGGCTAGTCTCATGTAATCCATCTGCCTTGGCCTCCCAAAGTGCTGGGACTACAGGTGTGAGACACTGTGCCCAGCCTTACTATTGCCAAAATGTCTATACTAGTCAAAGTGATCTATCAGATTCAATGCAATCCCTATCACAATTCCAATGTTATTTTTCACATAAAAGAAAAAAAAATCCTAAAATTCATATGGAATCACATCTAAATTTATTATATCACAAATAGCCAAGGCAATCATGAGCACAAAGAACACAGCTAGGCTGGGTATGATGGCTCATGCCTGTAATCTCAGCACTTTGGGAGGCTGAGGCGGGCAGATCACTGGAGCCCAGGAGCTCAAGACCAGCCTGGGCAACATACGGAGATCCCATTTCTATAAAAAATATAAGTAGCTGGGCGTACTGGGGCACATCTGTAGTCCCACTACTTGGGAGGCTGAGGTGGGAGGATCTCTCGAGCCCAGGAGGTGGAGGCTACAAAGAGCCATGATTGTGCCACTGCACTCCAAACTGAATGACAGAATGAGAGACCCTGTCTCAAAACAAGAATAAAGCTGGAGGCATCACACCACCTGATTTCAAAGTATACTATAAAGCTATAGTAATTAAGACAGCATGGTCCTGGCCAAAAAAGTAGAGGCATAGACCAAAGGAACAATAGGGAGAGCCCAGAAATGAACACACACATGTATGATCCATTGATCTTTGACAAAAATGCCAAGAATACAGAATGGGAAAAGGATAGTCTCTTCAATAAATGGTGTTGGAAAAACTGGATATAAAAAAAATGAAAATGGACCTTCATCTCACTCCATATACAAAAATCAAAATGGATGAAAGATTTAACATAAGGCCTGAAACTGAAAAACTACTAGAAGAAAACATAGGGGGAAGCCGACATGACACTGGTCTGAGCAATGATTTTTTTGGATTTGACCCCAAAAGCCCAGGGAGCAAAAGCAAATATAGACAAATGGGATAACACCAAACAAAAAAGCTTCTGTACTTTAGAAGGACATTCAAAGGCCAGAGAAGAAGACAATCTCATCCTGTCAGTTATGGTCCTACTTGCCCTGATTCCAATGTTTGGAGACTTAATTCCTAATGTTCTTCACAGATATGAAGAACATTCCCCCCCCCCCGCCTTTTTTTTTTTTTTTGAGACGGAGTCTTGTTCTGTTGTCCAGACTGGAGTGCAATGGTGCAATCTCAGCTCACTGCAGCCTCTGCCTCCCAGGTTCAGGTTCAAGTGATTCCTGTGCCTCAGCCTCCCAAGTAGCGGAGATTACAGGCATGTGCCACCACGGCCAGCTAAATTTTTTGAATTTTTAGTAGAGACAGGGTTTCTCCATGTTGGCCAGGCTGGTCTCAAACTCCTGGCCTCCAGTGATCTGCCTGCCTCAGCCTCCCAAAGTGCTGGAATTACAGATATAAGCTACCATGCCTACGCCCCATTTCCCTCTTTATAACTGCTCTTTTAACTATTCCTCAATCATCAATGTGGCAGGCAATCTCAATTTGTTCATCTCATTACCTCTCAGAGAGGGTCCTAATCTTTCCATCAATTAATTACATTGATTGCAGGATAATCTACCTCTTCAGGCACTTCTGATATTCCAGAATTTTTGCTCTGTGATCAAATTAAATCAACATTTGGTTTTCTATGTTGACTGGCAAAATAACATTTGAGGAACAAATTGCTCAATATTCTTCCATTCCTTGGTCAAGATTCTGACATGTGAGTGGGTCCAGAACTATAAGGCAAGATTAATTATCCCTTTATCTTTCAGCCTTACCTCTTAAGCCTGACATTAGAAATACTATATTAAACACCAAGCAGGATCTACTGCCCCCAAACAAAATAGGAATGTGGAATAAGAAAAAGAAACCAGGGTCCTCATTTTTTTTTTTTTTTACAATAAACAACTAATCCACTACTAAAAATGACGTTAGCAAATCTATTAACTAGCTATACTTTATAGCTGGTGGCATCTCTATCATTTATGATTTTCTATAGCAAATCAACTCAAATCAAATTCCTCAAAATACAAAACTTTAAAGCATGACAAGAAAGAAGCCTGAGATTTTATTTCAATATTCTTTTTGTGCAACACTATTAAAACCTTACTTCAGACAGTCCACCCGCTTTAAAGACCAATGATATGCCACAACAAAGTGCTTTATAAGGGTATTATCTCTATTAACTTTGAGGACAAAGCTTTTCAGGAATGTAGATAGCAAGAAATCTATGACTTAAAACAGGTTGGAATTGTTATCCATCCTCTTTTTTAAGTTTTTCCCAGAGTTGCCTGAGAATATTAAAATGTTAATTAAAATGAGCACGATATGTTTCTGTTCATTCATTAGGGAGTCTATATATATATTTATTAAACACTACTGAATAATAAAGAAATTGGTCTATGTCCTTGTTTCCTGGGGGGAAGTCTCTAAACCTTGGATTTTCCAAGTGCTAGGTGTCTTTATTCAGTGTGGGTCTCTTGGACCATATCTAAGTTTATATTAACAAAGTGACTCATGTTGGGGCTCTATATAGTTGTTTTTTTTTTTTTTTTTCTTTTTGAGATGGAGTTTCATTCTTGTTGCTCAGGCTGGAGTGCAATGGCACAATCTGGGTTCACTGCAACCTCTGCCTCCCAGGTTCAAGCAATTCTCCTGCCTCATCTTTCCAAGTAGCTGGGATTATAGGCATGTACCACCATGTCTGGCTAATTTTGTATTTTTAGTAGAGACAGGATTTCATCATGTTGTTTAAGCTGGTCTCGAACTCCTGACCTCAAGTGATCCACCTGCCTCAGCCTCCCAAAGTGCTGGGATTACAGGTGTGAGCCATCGAGGCCAGCCCCTATATAGTTTTAAGATGATGGCTGGACATACGGGAAAGACCAACCACATGATCAGAGGATTGGGGCTTTCCAATTCCCCAACCTCCAGGGAACAGAGGGGACGCTTGAAGACTGAGCTCAATCACATGGCCAATGATTCAATAAATACCTAATTAATGAAATCTCAATAAAACTTTGGACACCTGAAGCTTGGGTGAGTGTCCCTTGTTAGTGACACACATCAATGTGCCAGGAGGGTGAAAAGTCCTGAGGACACAGAAGCTTCACATTTAGTACTCTCAGACTATGTGTCTTGATTTGTGTTGTTGATAATAAAACTATAGCAAGCTTAGCACTTGCTGAGGGGGTAACGCAAACCCTTCAATTTGTAGCCAGTTGATTATAAGTACAGGTGGCTTGTGGACCCTAAGGCTTGTGGTTAGTGTCTAAAGTGAGGGCAGTCTTGTGGGGAACCATGCTTTTAACCTATGAAGTCTGCAATAACTCTGGGTAGTTAGCATCGAAATTACATTGTAAGCATCCACTCAAAATGTGTCAGGCAATGAATCCACACAGTTATACCTAATAGACGTGATTCCTGACAGCATGGGGCTTACAAGATGGTAGAAGAGAAACAAGTAAACACACACGATTAGAAATTGTGATGATTAAAGATCTTAAGGAGTATAATACATTTTAAGAAACAATGTACACATTCCTACGTGAGGCAATTAGTAGGAAATTATTTATTATCAAATCTGACCACTGGAATAGCTGCTTGCCAGGGATAAAACAGCAATTTATGAATCTATGAATGATCGGGCTTCACATCTTGGGAGCTGCAAAAATGTCTGAGGAGATGCTGAACTGTACAAAATGACGCAGTTTTCAGGGGTTTCTTTGGTCTGAAAAATAGATGAGTGCTAAAAATGCAAAGACACTTGTAATCTCCTAATCAAAACCAACAACACCTCTTAGTAGTTGTTTTAATTATTTTCCCCTCAACAATCTGTAGTAAGAAACATTTGGTTCCTTCACCTAACAGGAACTTGGCAGTAACCAAATAAATGCCAGAAAGGTTTTTGAATTTGTACCTCTCTAGACATCGAATTTAGAATACCTATGATAAATTACCTGTGTTACATTCTTTTCTGCTAGTTAACTTGCTGGTTTACTGAAATTAGCAAACAGGGTAACATATGTACCACTTAACAAGTGAAAGCCAAGGGGAAAAAACGTTACCATGCATGCCGTGCTCCAAATGTCAGCAGGGGTATTATAGCCAGATCCAATTAGAACTTCCAAGGAACGATACTGCCTTGTTTGAATATCTTCAGTGAAATGTTTGTGCTGAGAAAATGAAGGAAACAGTATTTTAAACTTCATTCTAAAAAGTAACAAGTCAAGACTGCTTAATAATGGAGATGAAAATAAATTCTCTGAAGTTTTTCCCAAATCAAAGTTCTCACTTTATTTCTTGAATAGCATTTTTAGGCTATTAGCTCCTTGCCTTACACACAGCTACTCGAAATTATTCTTGCAAACAAATGAGCCTAAACTTAATAAAGATACACAGGTTTAGGAAACAACAACAGCTTTTTTCTTTTTGAAAATAGTGTTGGGCTGGGCGCGGTGGCTCACACCTATAATCCTAGCATTTTGGGAGGCCAAGGCGGGTGGACTGCCTGAGCTCAGGAGTGCGAGACCAGCCTGGGCAACATGGTGAAACCCAGTCTCTACTAAAATACAAAATAAATTAGCCGGGTATGGTGGCATGCACCTGTAGTCTCAGCTACTCGGGAGGCTGAGGCAGGAGAATTGCTTGAACCCAGGAGGTGGAAGTTGCAGTGAGCCGAGATCATGCCAACTGCACTCCAGTCTGGGTGACAGAACGAGACTCTGTCTCTATTTAAAAAAAAAAAAAAAAAAAAAAAAAAGTGTTAGTAGAGATGGAGATGGTATCTCGCTATGTTGCCCATGCTGGACTCGAACTCCTGGGCTCAAGTGATCTACCTGCCTTGGCCTCCCAAAGTGCTGGGATTACTGGCATGAGCTACCACACCAAGCAATCCAAACTCTTTAACCTAGCAATTAACTATACTTGTCTTTAACAATCATTTTTCTGTGCCTTTACTGGTGATGTTCTACCTAGAGTACACTCTTTGTTCTTGTGGTCAAATTTCATCTAGTACCCTTTGGAGCCCTGGTCTATGCTGGTTTTCTACCTGAAGCTTTCTCTGAGTAATTTCCTCTTTTCACAAATACTGTTCCCTGTTTTTAAATTTCAATAGGATTAGAGAATTGTCTTCCACACTTTCCTGTCATATTTGAATATCTGAATTTTCTTTCCTGTGTATGACTCATACTAAGCTTTTTTCCCTCATTATTCATTTATTTTTTATCATGGAAAATTTCAAATATATACAAAAGTAGAAAGAATAATAAACTCCCATGTCATTATATTATACTAGTGTCACCTAGCAATTACCACTCATTGGCAGTCTATTTTCAACTGTATACCAACCCTGCCACCCACACCAGATTATTTTGAAGTACATACTAGACATTTTATTTCATTCGTAAATATGGCTTTCTGAGAGATCATTCTTTTTAACTACGACAACTTTGTCACCTAAAAAAAAATTAAGATTCAAAACCAATGAATCAGAGTTACAATATTGAAAGTGCACAACAAATCTTTAGTATAAGAGGTGAAAACAGACTGAGTGAGGCATATCACTATGAAATTATCCTACAGACTTCCACTGAAGGAAAAGGTTTCATATAAAGATCAAGAATCGGTCTTTAGCAGCATTATTATTTTTAATAATAGAGCTCTTTAAAAATCATGTAAAATTCTGTTACTAAATGCCAGATGCTGATGTACTAAAGAGATCAAGTGATATCCAATCAGGATCCAACAGGGTGCAACGCCCATGTATTGTTCACCATTGTGTCCTAATGCCTAGGTCAGAGTATGTGCCCATAGTTTGCTGAATGAGTGAATGGGTGAAAAGAATGTAGTCATTTTAAATGCAGAGAGACACTGTATGGTTTGAATGTTTGTCCCCTTTGAAATTCATACATTTACATTGAAACTTACACTGAAACTTAATACCCAATGTTACTAATACTAAGAGGTGGAACCTTTAAGCCTTCAAGAGGTGACTGAGTCATGAGGTGGGTCTGCCTTCATGAATGGATTAATGGGTTACCAGAGGGAGTGAATGAGTTAACAGAGTAGGCTTGCTATAAAAGTTGAAGAGAGATTCACTCTATTGTGGTACAAGCAACAGAAGACTGTACCACTGTAAAGAAAAGTGTACCACACATAGGTAAGAAAGCATGTATGAAGGTGTTCCAAACGTAAAGGCACAGAAGCCTGAAACATGGTGTGGGCAGGAAACTGGCAAGCGTTTGATGTTTGCACAGTGTGATATTTGTTAGAGTCAATATGTTTCTCTACAATTCATTTGCTAAAATATTTATTGAATACCTCCTATGTACCAGGCACTGTTCTAAGTACTAAACATAGATACAGCAGTAAACCAGAAAAACTTTGTTGGCATATGATATACATTCTAGGGAGAGGCTTATTAAGCAAATAAATATATATAATATTAGATTACGTTAAATGTTGTGGAGTAAAAAAGGGAGAAAGGAAGAATGAGCATCATCGTATTTACATGAGTGAATATGATAAGGTGTAAGTGTTTGGAGAGTGGTAGTTATTAATTATGTTAGGTGTTCAGGGGACGATCTCCCTAATAAGTGACATTTGGGTAAGGACTTAAAGAAAATGAAGGAGTTCTATGTGAAGAGGATTCCAAGCAGAAGGAAGAGTAGTTCTCTTTGCTTGGTGGTGTGTGGGCTATGGTAAGGACTCTGGTATTCATTTTGAAGGGAGCCACTGAAAAGTTTAGAGAATATATAACTTGACTTATATTTAAAATGGCTGACTAGACACAGGCAGTATATGCCTCATCCACAGAGAGGAACCAGAACAGTCAGAAGACACCCAAATTTTGAACGGACTGTCTAGGAAAGAATGCTAGGATTCACCAGAGAAGTGATGGGAAGCATCAGAAGAAAGGAAAGGGTTTGAGGAAGCTGGACATGGGGATACAGTAAGACAGAAACCCCCAGCATTCCACACTCTGAAATGGGTTTTACAATGTTGGTTAAAAAGCCCTGGACTAACTAGGGCCTTAGGTCTGACATACAGAACTGCCTAAAGATTGGACAGATGTTCTAAAAAGGGAATCCACAGAGAATCCCCACAGGTATCCGAGTCTTAAGTAGCTTCAGCTGGGTGCCATTTTGAGAGCCTTGATACCAGGAATCTGCAGACACAGATGCAGTCGCTCCACTGCTCCGAGGAAGGAGAGGGGAGACTAGGCACTCTCATCCACTCCTGGGAGGGTCCCTATCACCCTGCCATGGGCTGCTGTTGAGACGAAGATGTGAGTAGACCGCATTCCCCACAGCTTCTTCCCCATGCTGCTTGGCTAAGAGAGACCCTGCCCTCTCTGGTCCCAGGCATAAAGTGCTATTTTGAGAGTTTAATGCTACGTTGCACCTTGTCCTTGGGCAAGTTCGGACTGATCTGGCTGCAGCTGCCACTTGGCTGAGGAGGGACAGAGAAACCAGGCTCCTCTACGCACACCTAAGACAACAGGCTGCTTGTGAGACTGAGACTTGAGTGTACCATAACTCTCCACAGTTTCTTGCCCATGCTGTTCATATGAGAGGGAACCTAACTACCCTCTCAATCACAGGCCAACAGCTGGCACCATTTTGAGAGTTTAAAGCTGGGCTAGGCATTGCCCTTGTGCTAAGCTTGAGGCCACACGGCTGCAACTGCCACCCAGCTGGGAGAGGGACAGCAGAAACTATGCTTCTCTGAGCACACTTAGGAAAATACCCACTGCCCTGCTACAGGTGGCTATAAAACTAGGGACTAGCCCCCTCCAATCCATCACAGCTACCAACAACAACAACAACAACAACACAGACTGCTGGGGTCCAAGCAGGTTGCTCTACCACTCTATCCTGCCATCCCCCACATTATGCCAGCTGCTCAGGGGCTTGAGAACTTGCCAATACACCCAGCCAGAGACCCAAGAATCAGCCTTCAAGGACCCACTAACACCAGAGTCAATGTAAACTGCTCTGGGGCCTAAAAAACAGGAACACTCAACCCACCAATGCCACCATCAGGGTCCAAAGACTGGCTCAGTTGGCATCCAAGTCGTTGGCAAAACCTCACCACAATCCAAACTGTATTCTAAGCCACAGAGGAAACTGCAAATACCCCTGACCTCGTGTACTGCCAAAAAAGTTATACAAAAACCATATTACCAGCTGGGCACGGTGGCTCATGCCTGTAATCCCAGCGCTTTGGGAAGCCGAGGCGGGTGGATCACCTGAGGTCAGGAGTTTGTGACCAGTCTGGCCAATATGGTGAAACCCCAACTCTATTAAAAATACAAAAAATTAGCTGGGTGTGGTGGCAGGCGCCTGTAGTCCCAGCTACTTGGGAGGCTGAGGCAGGAGAATCGCTTGAATCCAGGAGGCAGAGGTTGCAGTGAGCCGAGATCGTGTCACCACTCCAGCCTGGGCAACAGAGCGAGACTCTGTCTCAAAAAACAAATAAAACACCCAAAACCAAAAACAACCCCCTGCCAAAAAAAAAAAATCATACTACCAGAGGCACCCAAAATCAAAGTATCCTGCTTAACCAGCAACATATATATAACTTCAGAAAAATAACCTCTCCTACAAAAGTAATAAAAAAAAAAAATTGGAACAAGTGACTTCTGCAACAAATGTGGAGGTATCAATGGAAGGACACAGAAAACATAAAAAAGCAGGTAAATATAACACCAACAAAGGAACACAACAATTGTCTAGCAACAAATCCCAATAAAAAATAATTCCTTGAAATGCCAAATAAATCAAAATACTGATTTTAAAGAAGCTCAATAAGATGCAAGAGATATCTAAAAATCAATACTAGGAAATCAGAAATTCCATTCAAGATGTGAATAAGAAATCTACCAAGGTGACAGATATCTTAAAGCACAACAACAAAAAACTCATTTAGTTATTTTCTATAACTAAAAAATTCACTGAGGCAGGTCACAGTTGCTCATATCTGTAATCCTAGCACTTTTGGAGGCTAAGGTGCTTTAAGTCCAGGAGTTTGAGACGAGCCCAGACAACATAGCAAGACCTTGTCCCTACTAAAAAAAATTAGCTGGGTGTGTTGGCATGCACGCGGGGTCCCAGCTACCCAAAAGGCTGAGGCAGGAGGATCGCTTGAAGCCAGGAGATTGAAGCTGTAGTGA